AATGAGTGGAAAGGGTTCTTCAAGAGGTACAACTTACAAAATACCAAGGGTCCCTGAGAAACAGACCAACGAGGGCTGTTACAAATGTGGTAAGACTAACCACATGATCAAAAACGATCCTCAATGGGAAATTGAATAGAAAAAAGAAAAGGGATGAACGAAGAAATAAGAAGAAGGAACAGGTTCATCCCAAGAAGAAGTAAGTGTGATTCATCTCAAAGATAAGATTAATTTTTTGTCTAAAGAAAGGCTATCTAAGTTACGGCTAGATTTCATTGATGAATCTGAGGTTATAAACAATGAAAAGGAACAACTGTCTAAGGAATGTGTAATCTTGAAAGCTAAATGCAAAAATCTGGAACTCAGGGCTAGTGAAAATGATAGTAAAAATGATGAGTTGAAGAACCAGGTTCTTGAACTTGACACCACTGTGTTAGAGCTCAGATCTGAAAATTTAAAACTGAAATTAGGAACATGTAAAAAGAAAGCTGATCACATACATCTCACCTTAGAAGAAAATCTGGGAAAAATGAAGGATGAGTTGCAAATGGAATAAGTCCTATGATGCACTATTATGGCTACAAGAACACCATAGTAGCAATAAGAGAGGACTTGGCTATGGGACCCCTATACCTAAGTGGGATCCCAAAAGCAAGTACATCACACTTCCTGAGAAAAAAATCTGCATCCACTGTGGTAAGACTGGTCACGATGAAAGTGAATGTACTGCAAAAGAAAAGGCTAGTCAAAAGAACAAATTTTTTGTTCAAGGGAAGAATAAGCTGCCATGATGGGCTAAAAAGAATTTAATTCACCCATTTGCTAATAGAAAGGGACCCAAACTAGTTTGGGTTCCTAAGACTAACCCCTGATTTCCCTTTGCAGGTCCAAGTGAAGGGGAGCAGCCAAATATGGTACATGGATAGTGGCTGCTCAAAGCATATGACTGGAAGCAAGAACCAGTTCCTTTCACTTGAGGACCTAAAAGGAGGTAATGTCTCCTTTGGAAATGGAAGAAAGGTGAGATCATTGGGATAGGAAATGTAGGTAAGATAGACTTACATTCCATTGAGAATGTCTACTTGATAAATGACTTGAAATATAGCCTAATTAGTATATCACAACTGTGTGATAGAGGTAACATGGTAGCATTCACCTCTACCAAATATTTAGTGATAAATCTTACCGCTGACACGATTATTTTGTAGGGAAAAGAGTAAACAATATATACATTGTAGATTTGTCCTCTCTTTCAGAAAATGAACTCACCTGCTTAAGTGTGTTGGACAATGATCCCCTCCTTTGGCGTAAAAGACTTGGTCATGCAAGTCTAAGTCAACTCAACAAATTAGTCTCCAAGGACTTGGTGATAGGGTTTCCTAACATCAAGTTTAAGGAAGACAAAGTTTATGAGGCTTGTGCAAGGGGGAAGCAGGTAAGATCCTCTTTCAAAAGCAAGAAAATGGTAAGCATGACCAGGTCAATGGAACTGGTTCATATGGATCTCTGTGGTCCAATGAGAACATTAAGCAGAGGTGGTAAAAAGTATGTGATGGTGCTTATTGATGATTACTCTAGGTTTACTTGGACATTGTTTTTAACATCTAAGGATGAAGCACTTGATATGTTTACTTCCTTTGTTAGAAAAACTCAGAAACAACTAGGTAATTAACTTGCATCAATTAGGTCTGACCATAGAACTTAATTTGAAAATGCTAAGTTTGCTGAATTTTGTGATGAGCATGGAATAGATCACAATTTTTATGCCCCTATAACTCCACAACAAAATGTAGTAGTTGAAAGAAAGAATAGGACACTTGAAGATATGGCTAGGACTATGCTTCTTTCTAGTAAACTGCCTCATACCTTCTGGGCAGAAGCTGTAAACACTGCATGTTACATCATTAATAGGTGCATAACTAGACCTCTTGTAGAGAAGACTCCCTATGAGTTACTTAAAGGGAGAAAACCAAATATATACCATCTTAGGGCATTTGGATGCAAGTTCTTTGCGCACAACAATGGAAAGGACTCCCTAGGTAAGTTTGATCCCAGAAGTGATGAGGGAGTATTCTTGGGATATTCTTCACATAGCAAAGCTTATAAAGTGTACAACAAAAGAACTATGTGTGTAGAAAAAAGTGTACATGTAGTCTTTGATGAAACTAACATTATTTCTGAGAGACAGAAACATGAAGATGAAGTTATTGGGCTGGTAAAAGGTTCAAATGAAGTCACAATCCAAGCTGAAGCTACACCAGAAGAAGGAATAGGTTATGGAACAGGTTCTTCCATCCAGGGCAACATGACAGGGGGAACTGAACAAATAAGAACTGAATCTAATTCCGAAATAGAATTTGTCCATGAGCATGTTCCTTAGCAACAGAACATAGGAGAAACATCAAAAAGAAACCAGTTGGTTGTGAAACCTTACAAGTATCAAAATTCCCATCTCATTGAGAACATAATTACTGATCCAATTGCTGGATTTAAAACTAGATCTCGATTAAAGAATCTATATGCTTTTGATGCTTTCCTATCTCTTATTGAACCTAAAAATGTTGTTGAGGCTTTGCAGGATGCAGACTGGGTAAATGCAATGCAAGATGAACTCAATTAGTTTGAAAGGAGTCAGGTTTGGCATCTGGTTCTAAGACCCAAGGACAGATCAGTAATTGGCACAAAATGGGTCTTCAAAAACAAACTTGATGAAGATGGAACTGTTACAAGGAACAAGTCAAGGTTGGTGGTTCAAGGTTATAGTTAGGAGTAAGACATAGACTATTATGAGACCTTTGCTCTAGTTGCAAGGTTGGAAGCAATAAGACTCCTCATAGCCTTTCCTGCATACATGGAATTTGCTCTTCACCAGAGGGACATCAAGAGTGCCTTCCTAAATGGCTACTTAAAGGAAGAAGTGTTTGTCAAACAACCTCCAGGGTTTGAAAGCAATGAGTGTCCGGATCATGTATACAAACTAGACAAGGAACTCTAGGGACTCTCCTACTTGAACATGGCTACAAGAGAGGTAAAATTGATAGCACTAGGGAAAAAGGTACGGATCTTCTTATAGTACAAATATATGTTGATGACATATTTTTTAGGGCAACCGCTGCAAAACTAAGTAAGGAATTAGCTAAACTTATGGGGAGTGAATTTGAAATGAGTATGATGGGTGAGGTTAATTTCTTCTTAGGCTTAAAAATTAAACAAAACTCAAATGGAACCATGATCCATCAATAGAAATATGCAAAAGAGTTGATTAAGAAGTTTAAAATGGAAGAATCAAAGGATATAGAAACTCCTATTGCAACAGCCACAAAATTGGACATAGATGAACCTGATTCATCTGTTGATCAGAAGTTGTATAGGGGTATGATTGGTTCACTTTTGTATTTTACTGCTAGCAGACCTGACATTATTTTCAGTGTAGGGCTTTGTGCTCGATTTCAAGCAAATCCAAAGAAAACTCACTTGACTGTTGTCAAGAGAATATTGAGATACTTGAAAGGCACTACTGACCTTTATCTTTGGTATCCAAAAGGTAATAACTTTAACATAGTGGAATATGTTGATTCTGACTATGAAGGTTTCCTTGTGAATAGGAAGAGCACCTCTGGTATGGCACACTTCCTTGGTTCATGTATTGTGTCATGGGCTACTAAAAAGCAAAATTCAGTGGCCTTATCCACTACTGAAGCTGAGTATGTTGTTGCTGCTTCCTGTTGTGCTCAATTGTTGTGGATCAAACAACACTTGATGGATTTTGGTATTGAAGTCGGTTGTATCCCTATTTTATGTGATAACACTAGTGCTATTAGTATGACTAAGAACCCGGTTTAACATAAGAGAACTAAGCACATAAATGTTAGACACCATTTTTTAAGGGACAACTATGAGAAAAGACTTATTACTATAGAATTTTGTGCTACTGATAGAAGATTGTTGACATCTTCACAAAAGCACTAAGTAGAGAGCACTTTGGATAAGGAGAAAGACTCCTTACTCAAAGAGAACACAGTTTAAGAGAATGATAGAGTTAGAGGCTGAGATCAACTAGAACTCTTCCACCAAGGAAGAGTTGCATCAGAGTTCTAGTTAATCTCTATTTACTAACTCCATAAATATCAGTGTTGTTATATTTTACAGGTAACGCACATAAGCAGAAGTTAAACGTGAATTCAGACCAAAATAGCTAGGCAATTTTGCAAGCAATTTGTGTGTGATTCAAGCGTGCATACCTGAAGCTACTTGAACCAGATAGAAGAACTAATTCCAAGAGTCTATCTTTTATTTCTGGTTCAATTGTAGTAGGTATTTTCATATTGTACCTTTCAACTTATCTAGAAGCAATTGTATTAGGTACTTAGAGTTTTCAAGTTAGAGTTAACTTGAAGTTGTCGTAACAGTTGAGGGTGTGTGCTACAACGGGATTAGAGTTAATCTTAGGTTTACAAAAGAATTTTTGTAAATGCAGTTTTTGGCTCAGTGAGTGGAGAGTTTGGAAAAATCCTACTGGAAAGTAGGTCGTGGTTGTTTTACCTTTTGAGCCAGGTATTTTCCACGTAAAATCTCTGTGTTCTTTAATTTCTGTGCTTATTATTCCGCAATAATAGTAGTTGGAACACATAGAAGAACCATGTCCTTCTATAATCAGGTTAAGCGAAAAATTGGACACCACACAAGTCACCCCCTCTTATGTGGTATTGAAGTATAAAATATCATTCATAATATACGCGAAACTAGAAAAAATGAGTAGAACATATGAATCGGCTTATGAGGTTGATTAGTCTCCATCTTTTGTCTATTAATGCTAGCTAGTTGCACCACCTCAATTGGTTGAAAAATCTGCCGAACGTCACTAGAGATTTTAAGCGATTATTATTCAGTATAAAATAACTATGTGTATTTATTAAGGAGGTGGATATTTTTGAAGGTTAGAAACTATAACGGACACAGAAAAAGTGAATGTGCGAAGAAGATAAAGAATGGAAATCAAGTTATAAATTTATTGCATATTACACTACATTAGTTGTTTCATATAAGTCAGCAATCTTCTGGATCTTTTACCCAGAATCCTGGATCTTTTACCCAGTATTCTTTCTGTATCACCACCAATAGGCAATAGCCTAGACTCTAGATCTAGATAGATGCTCCTCTTTTCTAGCAGTAAATTCTAGAATATTAATGGAGAGCACAAATTCAAGCACGCTGCATGTGTTTCTTAAGAATTAGACGTAATGTACAGCTCCATATTCTTCTTTTGTAGCCAGCCTAATGTTAAACGGATGCTTAACTTGGCGCTCACTTGAAGAACCAACAACTACAGTCTGCAGCCCTGTGACTAACTTCCTCTTCCCATATGCATCAGCTAAGCTGAAATCTTTGCAGACATCCAATTTTGTTGTCACTGTTGCTGTCTTCCCTTTCTCCACCCAGACTCTTTCAAACCCCACCAGCTGGATATTAGGCGCTCCAGTCAGTCCTCCTCCCATATTTGTTGGCTTCCAGAACACTATAACCACATAGGATCCATCCATTTTGCCATTATTCTTGACCCCAACTGTGATGTTAAACCTTAAACTCTGGCAATTCAGGTTTGAAATATCAAGGGCTTGGCCATTGGCTTGAGTAGTCATGTTAGATAAAAGAATGGTATCTGAGTCAAGGGTTGTCTTTTGCTTTACGACAATGGTGGAAGGCGCTGAAATGATGAACGAAGAAAAGCTTGAGTAACTTAGTCCATGGCCAAATGGATATATTGATTTTCCATTATAGAATCTATAAGTTCTTCCAGGAAAGTTTCTACTGGCATTTGCTCTCATGTTCATGTCATTCATTGGTACATTGTCAACATATTCTTGTGGATACCAAGTGAAAGGAGACCTCCCACCTGAAATTGCAGAAATTGCCAACCTACTTAATTAAGAAAGAAGCGTCTTTTATTGGTGTATGGGGGGGAGGGAATTTGAATGTTTTGGGAAAGAGTTTAAGAGCACCTGGATTATAATCTCCAAAGAGGACTTGAGAAATGGTATCACCGCCATCTTGACCAGGATAGCCAACCCAGAAAATTGCGCCGATCTTTTTATTATTCTTAGCAAAGGTTACATCAATAGGACTGGCTGACATAATCACTAGAACAACTGATCCATTTGCTGCCTTAGTGGTGTCTTTTACAAGCTTTTCTTGAAACCCTGGCAATGTCAAGTTCACTCTATCCAGTGATTCTCTCTCGATGGATTGATCAAGCCCCATAACAAGCACCACCACGTCGGCTGCAGCTGCAGCCTTGGCTGCTGCCTTGATTTGGCTTGAATCAGTGCACTGAACGTTTGCACATCCTGGCTCATATGTTATGCTCGCTACATACTTCTGCATCGCCTGGAAAGGGGTGGTGTAGCGGCAAGGTACCCCTGCGTAGATACTTAGCATTGTCCCAGTGGCATTAGCATTGGGACCTATAAGAGCCAAGTGTTTGACGTTGCTTGGTGACAGAGGAAGCACACCATTGTTGTCTAGCAAAACTATTCCTTGTTTTGCAGCTTCAATTCCCAAGGACTGATGATCATTGGTACACACATCAGATGGTCCAAGATTTCCAAATGGTTGCATTTTTGGATCGCCATCAAAGAATCCAAGCCTCATTAGTACAATGTAGTTATATATCAGTGACTGATCAATTATAGACACGTCCACCTTGCTCAGATTCACTGCTTTTTCTGTATACTTTCCTAGATAATCCCCACAATTCATGTTCAGACCTGCACAATTATGACAATCATTGAAAACCTGTATAGAAAATCGTATCTCTATGCAAGAATAACTAGAGAAAAGCACTTAGAAGACCTGCTTTCAGAGCAAGGGCGACTGCATCCTCAGGTGTGGCAGTATAGTGTATTGCATCATAGTAAACTTCAATTGAGTCACAATCAGAGACAATGTATCTGATAATAAACATATTGCAACATGCGATGTTAGAAGATAGTGAAATTATAATTTTCTTAAGTGGCAATGAATTTATCAGATGTTTAGTATGAGATTTATATTCTGAGTGCTGCTGCTGATTAGTGATTTAAAGGGTTTATGAATCAGGTGTAGCTATTATAGAGGCTTCTACATTTTGGCATTACAGAGAATAGGAACTAACCCGTCTAGACTCCATTGGTCCCTAATCACTCCTTTGAGCAAATTTGGATCAGCACAAGTTGGAACTCCATTCACGCGATTGTATGAGCACATCACACTGCTAACATGACCCTCCTCTACACAGCTTTTAAATGGTGGCTGGAATGTATCCTCCATATCCTGTGCTGTCACCTGCGAAATTTTCCTTTCACTGCTTATTATAACTTCCAAGTTGTAACCAAACAAATTGAACGGCAGCTTAATTTCCTGGTTATATACATTGGCGTCAAAATGATACCGATCAATTCCCTTCCAGTCATCAAGATCATAAGCAGTGTAATGTTTACAACAGCTTGAGACTTTAAGCTTGTTTTGACTGCTGAAATATTCTTCTCCATCGACTTCTTGCAAGCCTCGGACATAGTTAACAGCATACTTTGAGACCACTAGAGGGTCCTCCCCTGGTGTTTCTTGAGCCCTTCCCCATCTGGGGTCACGAAGGACATTCACATTGGGGCTCCAATAGGTCAATCCAGCCAGGCCAACATTGTGCATGGCCCGAGCCTCAGTTGATACAACCTTTCCTAAAGTATACCATAACAAAACATTAAAACTAGCAGCAGAAAGAATGACAGCTGGGAGACTGGTTGCTCCAGGTACTGTTGCATTGAAACGTACTCCAGGCCCCGTGTTTGACACCCCGTGCAGCGCCTCAGACCACCATTCGTAAGCTGGCACACCAAGCCTGGGAATGCCTGATGCAGAGTTAACTAGCTGTCCCACTTTTTCTTGGAGAGTTAACCGTGATACTAAGTCTTTTGCTCTGTCTGTATAAGCTAAAGAAATGTTGCAAAAACCATAAGTGCTGGTATTAGGGTCACTCTTATAACATGCATGAATCTGGGAATTACATGGTATTGTGAAGAGAACTATGAAGAATATTGGAGAAAGTAGAAAATGTTTTTCCATGTCTTCCCTAGCTTTTTTGTTTTTCTTTTTTCTTATGCTTCAAATCAAGCTGCACCATACCTATTTATACTAGAAGTTGAAGTGGAATCCAGTGCTAACACTTACCTTTTGCAGCAAAATAGGTTGTTGACTGTCGCTTAAGAATAAGCAGGTGTAACCTTTATTTAGCTTTTGGGTGAAAATGTAATGATCTTATACCTTAATAAGAAAAAAAAAAATACTTGTCACATGTTATAACTCTGACCTCATCTTGTAAACTAGAATATCGTGGTATCCTTCATTTTTGGCTTTGTTCATTCTAAGTGAGAGTTTTGTCAGTTGTTATGGGATACGTTGTTGAACACACAATTAGAAATGAGGTTAACACATGATTTGGACTAGGAATGCTCTTAGTTTTATGCTTACAGGGTAATTATCTTCAGCTCCATTATTAAGCATAAGATGGTTTGTTTCAGCTCCATTATCATGTATTGACAGCATCATTAGGAATAGGGCCTTTTCTTTTATTTATTTCTCTTGGTAGCTTTAATTTGAAGACATGAATCAATTCCAAACTAGTTCAGGTCAGTTATATGAATCATTTGTATCATTTTAACATCCAGAGGATTCATTATAATTTTACTATTTTTACATTGGTCGTCACCTACCACAGTCCTCCTCTTTATCTGGACTTAGACCTGCAACTAGAAATGCGGAAAGCCCATTATGAGAGCATTTCCGCAGCTCACCACAATGATAAGATTCATGCAGTGAAGCAAAAGCATTCATATGAAGGCTGTGGAAGAGGGCACTGGTATGCATACACAAACCAAATGGTGACTTCAAAGATATAGCTAAAATATTGACTAATTGGCACGCTAGGAAGCCCTCTAATGACACAACTCCAAAGCCAGTACTTATGCCAAATGGTCTTCAAACATTGCTTCAAAAAATATCTTACATTGTAATTGGCCTCCAAGGAAAAAAGAAACCTTTCTTCCAAGTTACTAATCCTCAGTGTAGTTTGAGAGTTACAGGACACATTACTTTTGGTCTAGTGGTACCAAATCTACTTTTAATAGTCCAATGAAATTTATGCAAGTAGGTGTTTTTTCTTAGTTTTGTTTCATAGAGTAAAAATTCTTATTTGTATCAACCTGTTGACGTCTATGGATTTGAGGTTTTTCTTACGGGCAGTGACAAACCTACCTTGATGTTGAGGGCAGATTAGTCCAATTATAATATTTTATATTAATGATAAATAGATTACAAAAATTATTATTAAAAATCAAAATAAGGGAGATAAATATAATATCTTAAACCACGAGAGAGGTTGATGTGATGAAGCAAAATCTGGAAGAAGGTCTCTGAAATTATCCTAATCTTTTTATTTTCCTCCAATAATATAATCAACTTAAGAGATTTACCATTCATTATATCGCATTGGGGAAAATATTAATGGGTGAAAATCATTTTCATCACTTCAACTTTGCATTATTAATCAAACTCATCCCCAACCTTTCAACTTATCACGACCCAAAATTTCACCTTATGGATTGTGATGGCACCTGCCACCTGATCTCTAAAACTAGGTAAGTCGATTACTTACAACAGTTAAACCAATTAAACATGATATTATGAAGCAGAATTTAATATAAATAAAAAATTTAAAGGTGATACATGCCAACACGGTGATAATCACTACAATCCCCAAGATTAGGTAGAACAAGTCACGAACTCTAACTTAATACATACAAATATCTCAAAATACAATATTGTTCGGATAGAAATTTGACAGCATAATGTAAGGGAAAGGACTCCAAGGAACTGCGATAACCAAGCAGCTCTACCTTGAGTCCTAGCGATCAACAAGCTAACTCAGCCTAAGTACGTTATCTCCAATACCTAGATCTGCACAAAAATATACAGAAGTGTAGCATGAGTACATCACGGTCGATACCCAGTAAGTATCAACACTAACCTCGATGGAGTAGTGACGAGGTACAAGTTAAAATACCTAGTAGACATAATAACCTGTGCAGAATATTAGCATAAAGCTAATAATGAAAATAAGAATCAATAAATGGCAATAAGGAATAAACATGTGATAAAATAATAAGGTAATCAGAACACAGTTAAAGTACCAGTGTAACCAATTAGGAAAACAAATAACAACCAAATAATCAAGATGTTCTAACACAAGGTTTACAACAAAAATCACCCCGAGGTACCACACCTCATAACCACAAGTCACAAGTCTCAAATCCCAAATCATAAAAATATGACACCTTGTGCCTACATTATCAATTCACAACTGCACGGACAACTCATGTGCTGCACGGATAACTCACGTGCCAATATCTCAATCCGCCCGGCATAGCCACACGCTCACTATCACAATCCGCCTGGTGTGGCCACGGGCTCAATATCACAATCTACCCGGCATGGTCACAAGCTCTATATAACAATCCGCCCGACATGGTCACATGCTAACAGTCCAACTATATCGCAACGAAAGTAGATATACAAGAGTCCATGTACATGATCAATGAACATCAAGTTTCATATTCATGGACTGGTATAAATAACATATTACGGTATATGCATGTGCAAGCGTACTATCATAACTCAAATCATCAAGTAATATTAGAAACACCGAGTAGCACACTAAAAAAATACAACAAATTATGTAATATGCATTACACACACTAGGAGGCCAAAATCAACAACTAGGATACTTCTCTTTCATCAACAACACACCACCCGGTATCACATAACATCCCTATATATCCACCCTTATTATACTACATGTGCATAAATATGATAAGCTGCCCTTATTTCTTCACATACGCATATAGCCACCCTTATTTCACCACATGGGCAGCCCGAGATAACGCCACCCTTATTTCGCCCCACGGGCATAACTATAGACACAATCATACGGCAAACCTCATGCTGACACCCCCAATCAATCCGCTCAACATATCAACAAGTGTTAAATCAATGTACTGAGTATGATCAAGTAGTCATAAATTTATTTCAATATGTTTTATATAATGTTCACCATCACATAAAGGCATATTAATAGCCTACGGTCTAATCCGGTTGAAGTCACACATAGCCCATGGCCCAACAACAAACTATTCAAGAATTTCAACAATAACACAATGAATTGGAAGGAATAAACTCATCAATGAAAGATATTCCATGAAATAATAACTTTAATTAAGTACATATAAATAACCTAAGAGTCTAAGCCGGTCATATGCCATATATAAGCTCGTGTTCACGCTTGTCACCTCATGTAAATGTCTTTTACATAATTCAAATAGTGTAATCAGACCAAATCCTACGGAGAAGTTTCACCCACACAAAGTTAGGGAAGATACTTACCTCAATTAGGCCAATTCAACACTCAAAAATAGTTTTTCCATTAAAATTCATCTCCGCTTGGCTCGAATATAGTAAAAACACGACTTAATATTATCAATCAATGCAAGAGAAACCAATTTCAATTAATAAAGTTAAAATATTTAATTAAAATAAAAAAGTCTACTCAAAGAGTCAACCTCGGGCCCGCACTTCGGAACCCAACCAAACTCACAAATTTTAAAAACCCATTCCGATACGAGTCCAATGATATTCAGCTTAAAGTATGTACATTTATATACATATTGACTCGCGTTTTACTCATGTTTCGTAGATTTCAGATGTTTAATGTAATTAGTTGTGCTAATTCGTGATATTTTTATGTGTAGGAGTCATCCGTAGGTAATGTGGGGCCAAAGTGCATGATGTGAAGCAAAAAGGGAACAAAACCAAAAAAATAGCCCAGTATAGCACCCTGCGCTACCCCTGGTACAGTTTACAGATGGAATATTTTTCCAGCGCCCCGCACTACCCTGGACGTTGGGTGACAGGAAGTATTCTATTTCGCGTGGGACAAGGTTATTTCGGCCCTACATGCCCCCAACTTGTATAAAAGAAAGTCTAAACTTATTTTGGAGGGGGAGACGCCACTTTGAGAGAAAAATACTTGGGAGCACGGAATTCATCATTCATCCATCTTTCATCTAATATTCATAGGTTTTATATCTGAAAACAATATTTTGATTATTGTAATGAACATGAGTGCTAAGAAACTCATTATTCTGGGGTTATGAGTCCTGTTTAACTATTGTATTTTGACGGTTAATTTTGTTGCTTGATTCTCTCATATTAATTTATTTATTCAATCTTGCACTTAATTAATCTATTGTGTAGATAACAATACAATATTATCTACTGTTGATACCTAATTTTTTCCTCATATTTTATAATGTATTCCATATACTTTCAAAATATCTTTTTGCATCATTACCTAATTTACAAGGGTCATGTAAGTATTTTCTATAATTTTTAAAGCTTTAAAATTGATTTTATTGCATTTAAATTACTCAAATATTTATTAATTATTCCTTCAAATTATTTTGTGATGACTTAATCATCCAAATTTATTATTTACACCTACATATACACTTTATAACATTTTACTTTGTTTCATATAATTACATTTTGTATTTTTGAGCTATTTACACAATTTTTGCAATAATCACCCATATCCTATACATAATTATATTTATTATATTATTTATGCTAAAATAGCATTTTTTTTATATTTTTACAATGTTAAGCAATTATTTTCAATCATTTTACTACATAAATAATATTTTTATTATTTATTAATTATTCCCTCCGTTCCAATTTATGTGAACTTGTTTGACTCTGCATGGAGTTTAAGAAAAAATGAAGACTTTTGGAATTTGTGGTCGATTAAGTCAAAAAGGAGCCCAGAATATGTGTGTGATTATAAAAGCTTCTCATTAAGGGTAGAATTATAAGTTTAGCTACATTGTTACCAAATTTAGAAAAGGATCATTCTTCTTGGAACGGACGAAAAAGGAAATAGGTTCACATAAACTGGAATAGAGGGAGTACTTTTTATAAATTATTTTTTAATAAATTTCGTGTATTTAAACTATGGCCCAATTTTTGAGTT